TAAAATGTCTTTTGCAATTGACTTTAATTAATTTTAGGCAAGGCTGGCCATAATTTCAGGTTCAAATGAAATGACTTGTTTCATATATTATGCTAAACTATTGTTTCTAATGACTCACTCTGTGTGTGTGTGTGTGTGTGTGTTTGTGTGTGTATGCTAGGTTTTGGCTTGTGTGCTTTTTTTCTCTTTCACCTAGCACTATGAACTACATTACAATTCCAAAGACATCTGATAGTTTCAAAGATGGTTATGATGCATTTGTAAAGTGTAGTGATGAAAATATTACATTGCATGAAAATTAGTGTTTAGTTGTGATTTAAATAACTTTACGTATTCTGCTTTTCCAGACCTGGTACACCTTTCACTCTACAAGCATTCTCAGAAGAGGACAGGAACATGTGGTTTGAAGCCTTAGATGGGAAGGAAACGGTAAGATAATTATAATTTTTACAAATAAGTAAACACGAAGAGAGACTATTAATGCAACATAGACTATATTTATTATTAATTGTATAGTTTTGTGATATAACTTATGCATTATATGAAACAAAAAACAAAACATGTCACTGTTAAATAATGTGTGTCTACTGGCATAGAGTTTTATGGATCAGTTGCATGGAACTTTCCAATTTAAAAGTACATATGTGTATACGTGCATGTACATCTGGGCATGTGCATCTGTTTATGTGTTTTTAAGTGTACATATGGAAATAGATACAAAAAATACACCTAGTAATAAATGAATTTTCCTTGTAAGAGGAAAAGCTATAATGTATAAATAGAACATAGATTAAAAGTTTGAAAATTTGTTGCTGGATTTTCTGAATTAAAAATGTCCAGAACTGTCACAGGATATTTTTGTTACTGTCATTTTTGAAGAAAATTATCCTAAAGTAAATTTGTTTAGAAATGAAATTTAGATAACACTGGACAACAAAGATTTTGCTTCCAGAATGCTTTTGGGTGTATCTTGCAGAGTTTCGGTTACTAATCAAGAAAATAACATGTAATGTAACCTAACATATTGTTTTATAGAAGTATGTTTTTACATAATGACAATGTACACCCTTCAGTACCTATTGACTTTGTTGCACTAATGAAAGAAACATACAAAAATAACATGGAATTGTTGTTGAAGAATAACCAATATGCTAACTGGGATATCTATAGATACCTAAAAGTGGTGGCTCTGCTGCTTGGAATGCAGCTTGTATACCAAATGTTGTTATATACAGTATAGGACAAGCATGCAAGAGAGTTGCATAACATTAAAAAGAAACAGCCACTCTGACAGAGTTTGTTTCCAAGACAGAAAAATGTGGCCCATGAACCACTTGTTGATCTGACAAAGATATTTTGCCACTGCTTCACATAAAACTTGGACTGTTGAAACTTTTTGTGAAAGCGATTAACAAAGAGAGTGAAGATTTTCATTATTTGAGGCAGAATAACGGATGCCAAGATTAAGGAAGGTATTTTTGTTTGCCCAACATCTTGCATATGCCATAGGTCATCAATGACATATCTGTTTGAAGGATCTATTAGCGGGGCCAGAGAAAAGCACCTGAAAAAACATTCAAGGATGTTGTTGAGAATTTTCTTAGCAACTACAGAGCACCAAACTACAACCAGCTGATTGACAAACCTTTTTCAGCATATCAGAACATGAAGTGCAACATTTCACTTAATATTAATTTTCTACATTTACACTTGCACTTCTTTCCTTAAAATCTAGGCAGTCAGAAAGGTTTAACCAGCACTTAGCCACAATGGAAAAATGGTATCATGGCAACTGGAATCCATCAGTGCTGATGGAAACATTAGGCAATTAAATACATCATATCTTTTCATATTTCTTAAGATTCCTACATGATATAGTCATTCTAAAATTATATTTGTCTTCAAATATATTTATTTCAAATATAATGTTTGAAGGGGTCTATCATAATCACCAAAAGTTTTTCAGGAAACAAAACATGAAAAAATTGTCCAGTATGATTATTAGCTCTTAGGATATAAATTGACAGCCTTACTAAAAAGGCTGTATCTCAGAAATGTTAACTGTTTATGTCTGCAGTTTTAAAGAAATATTTCATTCTTGTTTATATCAAAATACTATCTGTTTATGTAGAAATAACGTATAATATTTATACTGTATTAATTATCTTTCATTTGTCATAATTAAATTTAACACAATTTAAAAGGTAAAAATAATGGTAAAATATCTTGAAGTTCCCGTTTCTGTCCACACATCCCCAAATTATACAGTATAGACATGCAAAATTAAAAGAATATTGACAAATCAGTGTTTTTTCAGTGTGAAATTTTTTTAAAAGCAGCATAAATATACAAATAATTTTGAAGGATTATCTTTGCAAGGAAGGTCGTTAGATTAAAAAAAACATTCAAAATACATACTATCCCAGGAAACAATACAAATAAATACAAAAGTAGAAATAAGAAGAAAAGGGACTATATAATATTCCTTAATATAGATTTATTGGAAACAGAATGAAGAAAGTATGATAACCAGTAGGGGGGTTTTGTCAAAAGTTTTAAGAATTTAGAGGAGGGATAAGACATCTCTGGTTTGTAAGGCTAATCCATTTTGTTTTGTCTGTCCAATTCAGAGGACTTCAACTAAGCACAGCCTCTTTTTTATTTGATAGTGTCTACATCTGCAGTGTTAGCAAAATTAACACCCCAAAAGATGCCATGTAATTGCTGACACTTAAAAGCAGTTTCTCCTCAAGTTCCAGATGATGTCTGTAGGACGGTTTGGATTGGCCTCTGCCTCTAATGCCATTATTTGGATTATGGAAGGGAATTTTGAATCCAGTCCTCTGGCTTGATCCTGATGTAATTTGCATTGGTCAGCTATACTATTCAGAACTATGCTTATTTATGCATGTAGAAACAGATGAAAATTCAAAATACTTAGTTACAAGAAATTAATGGACCAAGTCGTATTTTGATTCAATGCTAAAAAACCTCATTTTTGTCTTTTAAGGGAGTGTGGAGTTCTTCCTTACCCAGATGTTTAATTGCTTGTATCTTGAGTGCAGTTAGAAGTTTACCTTTCTTTTTGTTTTATTTTGTTAGGTGTTTCTCAATTTGAACAAGGCTAATACACAAAAAGAGGGAAGTAAGTACTAGAGATAAAACAATAGTTAAATTAAAATTAAATTTTCCAGAATAATTTCTGAAAATAACTTTTATTCCGTATTTTTTAAAAGGTGTGAGCTACCCAGAGTTACTTACATGTCATTTGGGTGGCTAAATAAATTTGTTAAACAAACAAATAAACAAACTTTATTCTGTCTTGTGTACAAGTAGTCCTCGCTTATAATTACAATTGAGCCTAAATTTTCTGCTTTTAACATTTGTTAAATGAGACATTTGTTAGGTGAATTTTGCCCCATTTTATGACCTTTTTTGCCAAATTTGTTATATGAATTGTTGCAGTTGTTAAGTTAGTTACATGGTTATTAAGTGAATCTGGCTTTCCGATTGACTTTGCTTGTCAGAAGCTTGTAAAAGGGGGTCACATGATCACAGGACACTGCAACTATTATAAATGTGAGTCGGTTGTCAAGCATCCAAATTTTTATCATATGACCATGGGGATGCTGCAATGGTTGCAAGTGTGAAAAATGGTCATAAGTCCCTTTTTAAAGTATCTTTGTAACTTTGAACAGTCACTAAATGAACTGTTGTAAGTTGATGACTACCTGTACTGTTTCCAGCTATGAGATAAAAAAAACTCATTTGAAATAAAATTGTGTTCCAATTTTATTCAACACTAGCTTCAGGCTGTGTTTTAGAAAAAGCTCTGATGTCCCCTCCATTTGATTCAGGATTGAAATCTAAATCTATTTAAATTTCAGTTCATAATTTTGAGGTTCCACTAAATATCAGTGGAAATGAACAAGTGATCATTTTATTGTTGTTGTTGTTTAATATAGCAGGATAAAAGTGAAAAAATAGTACCTTTTGGATAAGTGCTCATTAATGAAGAATATTTTGTTTTTTATGCACATTTCAACTTTCTTTTCAAAGTAATATTTTTATTTTGTGACACAGCTAGGTATAATATAAACAGAGGGAGAAAACAAATGGATGGGGCTGTTTGTATAATAAACCCTATGCCCATATGTTGGGTTAAAGATATTGCTTTTAAAACTTTTCCTCCGCTTCAATGGTAAAAGTGAAAAAAGCTATTGTTTGAATAGCTATAGCTACAAGTATTTATATAGGTGATCTTTTATTGTAACATGGAACATATTTCATTAGATCTGAAATTTCTTCAATTTTTTTGTCTTTTTAGGTGTGCAGCTAGATAAGATTGGATTCACAATTCTCAGAAAATGCATTAGTGCTATTGAAAAAAGAGGTAAAGACAAGGATTCGTGGATTGAACAGAAAGAAATAATTTTTTATCTTGGTTATAATGAATCTTCCAATATTCATGCCGGGGATTGGGGTGGGGGGACAGAGTGGAAAAGTGGGAACATTCCAACTTCTACTCAGCTTTGCTGTTTCACGAGTATAATCCTTGAGCCCTGATGGTTTTCTTGCTATGGCTACCTTTTTCAGGCACCAAGTGGTAAATCATGAACAGGGAACTTTTCCATCCCTACATACTGGTCTCCATGACCATCTTTATGTTTTATAGTATTCCTTCAATTTGTACAAATGTATCTTTCTTTCATGATGATCGAGAGGGAAGGAGATTAGGTTTCCTTTTTTTGCAGCAATCCTGCTCAAAGTCATGGGATTCTTGGGAGGAAGGAAGAAGTCTTGTAATATCTTCTTTTCTCCAGCACTTTTGAACAGGCACGGTGGCAGAGAAAGAACCCAAAGCCTTCAGACTGTTTGGGGGAGGGGGGATTTTGCTTCCCCCTTCCTCTCAGCAACGTTGTTTGCAGATCATGCTTTTCTCTTTTTAAAAAAGCAGACTTCACAGAGTTGCTGACTTACATGCATATTTTATACAGATATTTTACACAACTGGAACAGAACATTCATCTTGTTACCATTGCCATCTGTGTATCAGAGCAAAGGGAGTCACGCTGTCCACCTATGAAATGAACACAAAACGTATGAAAAGATGACTTGGGAAAGAGACAAAATAGCATTTTGCAGAATTGCACATAACATTCCAATATATTCCTCTCCTGAGAATTCATAGTTACACTTCCCATATATTTGTTTTAAAAGCTTGTATGCATTTTCTGCACTTGTTATAATAATTCATTGCTGGAAAGATAGATGGCAGCAGTAAGCTATCATTCCTTGAAGATCTACAGCAAGATTTGCACTAGTGAGGAATTGAAAGGAACATAATAAAAATCTTGAAACTGCTTTTGGAAATAGCTCTACAAGATAACTAAGGACTGTCATAAGCATTAAAATATTCGTTCTACAAAATATGTTATTACAATTAGAGTTGAGCTTTTGTGACTTTCTAGGACAGTAGTTTGTATCTTATCAACCATTGGCCATCGTATAGGAAAATTGGGAAGTCTAATAACTGAATGGCTATAGCTTGGTTTTGCTGCTTTAGGAGAAGGTAGCAGTAAATTTGAGTTGATCTCCTAAATCATATTCACATAGAAGCTTTACATCTAGGAAATGCCAGTACTATTTGGGAGCATACAAGATTCTTTAAATAACAAATAATATTATGTTGATGAGATCAACCAAAATCTGTAATATATTGTTGCTTTTTTTTTACATTTTTTATTTTATTCAAAAGATTAAAATACATAACCCAAAAGAAAAAAAATTAACAGAGACAAAAGAGTTAGATATTTAAAAAGTGAAGTAAAATATGTAAATTAAAATAAAGGAGAAAAACATGTATTCTCTGTTACCTATTATTGCTTATTTCCACTAAGAATTCTGACTATCATCAGGTCAGTAGTTGACTTTTATTAGTATTCAACCTTTTTACCATATCTTCATGTTTTCAAATGTTTGAAGCTGTGGTATACTGAGATTCGCAGTCAAAGTGGATTCAATAATGTCAACAATATTGTCTCAATTGCTTACCAATACCTGAGTGATAGTGAGTAACTTGAGTGATAGTGAGTAATGGATCACGTCCAGGATATTGTGTTGTACTTGCAGTGGAAATCACCAGAAGTTAAGAATTTTTTATTTTTAATATGTTGTTCTCCTAAGGGTTCTCCTAAAGGAAACAATGTAACACTAGCACATGCCCAGGACACAGAAACAAGGAGACCTTTGATGTTGTCATTGACTTAGGAGAAATAGCAGTTCTGTCCCTTTAAGAGTAGAATATGTTAGTGTGAATAGGTGTTTTTGGGGGGAGCTAGGAAAGGCAAAGGGAGGTAATACAGTGAGGAAATCGTTATTTCTGCAGTGGTTAAACTATCTTACCATGTGTTAATAATTTGTGTCTGCTGCACTGTCTCCCAACCAGCAGTATACTGTATTTTCTGGGAGAGTCTCCAGGGATTTAATTTTGATTGTTTTCAGTTGCCTAGATTCTGAAAAGGAATAAACAAAGTAATACTTTTTGCTGTTGGTCTTAGCTGCATTGAATTGTTAGAAAATGGAAAAGCAGAAATTATATATTTTACAGAAACATCATGAAGAGATGAAGTATAGGAAGTTTCAGCTACTTTAGACAGAAACAGACATTTGGAAATCTCATCGTCTTTTTTTTAGTTTGCATTACCATTCTATATGATTATAGCTGCAAGGAAATATTTTTATAGTTCAGTTCTCTGCAACAGACAGGGGTCAACCTTTTGAGTGACTAGGGCTTCACTTATACTTTGGCCGAGGAAATTGAAGGCTGCAAAGCAGTGGGAGGAAAATATGGGTGAAGCTGGGATTTGGACAAAGTTTTATTTTCAAGAGCCGTGGTAGCCCTGTGATTAGAATGCAGTATTTCAGACAATTCTGCCGACTGCTAGCTGTTTGATTTTGACCAGCTCAAGATTGACTCACTTCCATCCTTCCGAGATTGATAAAATGAGAAGCCAGATTGTTGGGGGCAATCTGCTGGCTCTATAAATCGCTTAGAGAGGACGCTGTAAAGACACTGTGAAGCGGAATATAAGTCTAAAGGCTATTGCTATTATAATTGTTCTTTTAAAGCTGATACTTTTTAAAATGTGAGGAAATATGTGTTCAGTTATCAATAGTTCTACTCAGAAAAGGTTTTGCAGGATAAAACGTGAACAGGGTTGTATGTGGTCCCCCTGGTGTACAAGATTTGGTTGGCAAGTCCGTTTAGTGCAGCCCATGCACTTATTCCTCCTTCCTCCTATTTATTAAGAATATAGATTCATTAGGCTGCCCCAAGGGTGGTGTTGATTTTATGTTCTTTTTAGATTATGTGCCTGGAAAATGAACTGCTTCGGATATAAAGCTTACCTTTATTTTTCTAAATATAGCAAAGATTTCTGTTGCCACAACCAAATCTCTAGCAATGAACTCTTTGCCTTTGAAAGGAGAGAAAGAGCTTCAAAGTAACATGTTTCATAAGTTTTCAGGGACAAAAATAATTAAGGTTTATATGAAATAATTTTATTTCTTTTCATAACTCTAAAAGTGTTTAACTTTTCTATTATCTTATTAAAATAAACTTTTTTATGTACAAGAAATTAAAGTTTGTTAAATTCCCTGATAATTGTATTTTAGGAGTGTTAAATTACTTTGAAATTATGAGACCTATGTCACTATTATTAGCAGTTCCATGTTATAAAACTAACTGAAAAGGCTGAAAATATAAATACTGCAATTATTATAACTGTGGTTGAAAAGAAGAGAGCATGGATAATTGCTTTGGCAATACCAAGGGATAGTAGAATGGAAGACCAAATGTTGCAGATCATCACAAAGTATCAATATCCAAAAACTGAAGTTGAAAGATTATGGCATAAACCGGTCATGATGGTCCCAGTAGTTATTGGCACACTAGGTGCCATACCAAAAAATCTTGGGCACATTGACAAAATTTCTATCTGTCTTTTACAAATGCTACACTAGGACTATACATATGCTACATTGATAGATTATAACATCCTGCACCTAGAATATTGGGAAGAAGTAAATGTGTAGGAAGGCCAACGCCAGCTAAAGAACTGCCAGCTGTGATTTCATGTTGTATACATACAGTGACAACAGCAACTACAATGCTCTTCATATGCAAGATGTAATTGAGGTTTCACTGGTTAGGTAATGCCTTATGTTTGAGAGTATCTTCTAGATTAATATTTATTTTCTTAGGTCTAATAAAGATCTTAAATTGTCATAATTTAAATTATGGACTAACCAGGGAGAAAAATATTGTACCTATCTTAACCGGTATATTGAACTAAAAGTGTTTGCATGGATGCATGGATGCATTTGAATTCTTCAAAGATTTCATTATCATGTTATCTTAGCTCTCATATTCAGTTATACTTAATAGATTTAAAAAAAAACTACACTGTATAGGATTTTGTCTCCGCAGTAGCCAAAAAGATGTTTATGCGAAGCTTTATGCATTCTTCCGTTCCTAGAAGCTAATTCTCAAACAGTTTTTAGTTGTCAGTGGATTAATTGTTTTAAATCTATTCATTATTCCCAAACCAGATTAAATGCTTATAATAAATATGACTTATTTATGTTTAATAACTTTTATTAATTCTTTTGTGTCTCTATTAGGTATAAATGATCAAGGACTGTATAGAGTTGTAGGGGTGAGTTCAAAAGTCCAGAGACTACTGAATTTGTTGATGGGTATGCTCATTTTTAAAATCTGCTTCTATCATTATATATATGCATACTTCCTTTTTTATTGTTCCCCCCCCCCCCCAAATTTTTAGTTTTCTCTTTAAATCATGTCAAGATGTGAAAGCAACATTATTTGGGGCAATAGGCTTTTTAAATGGATGCTGAGAGGTCATAATTTAATACAAAGCAAGATTTCCATTATGTCCTTTTAATTCACCAGTTAAAAAAAATATCTGAAAATATATGAAAATCTGAAAGATTTAAGCTATTTAGAGATTTCTCCTTAATTATGAGTGGACAAAATTTTGATGGAATGAAAACAGTACATTTAGATATTTTTAAAGTAGATAAAACAATATTTTAAACATATTGAAATTTGTCTCATTTCAGTGCAAATGTATTTAAATGTACATTGTGTTTAATCCTTATTTTGAGTTCTAGTGATTTTTCTAGGAAATTATAGATTATCATCCCTTTGATAAAAATTTCATTTAATTCTGACAACAAATATAACTACCATTCTTCCTATTGTTAGAGTGAAATTATTATCTAACCACATCGTAATAGTCAACACTGCAAAATTTTCAGATTTCTTGTGCACAATTTTTGGCAGTACATGCAATCAGATCAGACTACCTGGATTACTTGAGCTTTCCATGTCTTCTAAACCTGTCATTTGATAGAATCACTGGTCTGACTTTCAACGATTCATTGATATTCAGAGAAGCTAGTTTGCAACAGGCTCCTCTCCAGGAGCATGTAGCTCCATCTGTGCTGATAACACAGTGTTCTTTGGCAGATAAAACTAGAGGAAACTAGCAAATGAATTCATCTCATTACCCCAGACATTATGTGGATGGCAAAGTACTTTATTTTACTGTATGCGCTGCTGTCAAATCCTTGCCACTTGTATGATGCTGACTGCTGAAAATATGACAGTTATTATACAGTGTACTGTCTTTTTTTCCGTATTAATTTGGCAAGATGATCAGCTAATTATTAATTAACTATCTTTAATTGCTATTGGCAATTGCATTGAATTTAAGAAAGGTATATAGACCTCAATATTTCTTATAGCTTCAGAATTAGGAAGTAAAAGGAAAAGCTGTTGAGACAAAATGCATAAATCCTGTTATGAAAACCTGGTATTTTCATGAAACCCAATTTAATCTACTGTTTTGTTAGAGAAAGTCATTCAAATAGTTTAAATTTAAATAGCTGAGGGCTGGTTAGTACAGTGGTTTAAGGCATTGGGAATGAAAATGGAAGACCATGAATTCAAGTCTCACCTTAGGCATAAAGTCAGCTGGGTGATCTTCGGTCAATCTCTCTCAGTCCTGGGAAGAAGGAAAAGGCAAATCACTTCCAGGAAAAAAAAAACTTCAGGAACTAATCCAGGCAATTACCAGGAATCGACACTGACTTGAAGTCACACACACAAGAATCCTTTTACGCACATATTTTAGAATGTAATTTATTTCCTTGTATTTTGTTGCATATGTATCAAGTAGAAGCTTATTTTGGAGTTCTATTTTATAAAGAATATTAGCCACTATCCTATGGCCTTTGTCTGAAATCCATGCTTCTTAGGTTATTCATTTTTAAAGCTCGTTTTTTATGGAAAGAGAGGAAACCAAATCCTATTCTGATAACTGCATCATGTTTCAGCACATTGTTCTGCCTTACAAAAACTTACCTGGATAGTTATGCAGTCATAAGAAAGATCTCATCTCCTACCTTAGCTTCCCTAAATTGTGAACCTCAGACTCATCAAAATTTTCAAGAGGAAAGGAATGTTGTGAAAAAGAAAAAATAAAGTTAGGGATAGAAAACGTATAAAATGGACATGCATGTTTAAACAATTTATCTACTTGAAAAAGAATATTACAGTTGCAAGAATTAAATGGATCTGGTTGTTAGATAAACACTGTAACATTCTTCATAACTATCCCTGTCATTGCATATGGGAGTTTTAAGCATGGATTACAACCTTGTCAGGAGCTTCTTACCGCTGAGAGCATTTTTTGTATTTATTTATTAAATTTATTTGCCACCCATCTTTCTGTGGGGCTACTCTGGGAAGCTTATGACAATAAAAAGCGGGGGGGGGGACAAAACATAAAAACAATAGTAAAAGAACAAAATCATAAAAGTAAACAATGGAAGTTCTGCAGCAAATGGAAGTTCTGTAGCAAAGAAGCAACTATAGAGAACATCTTGGCTGAAAATTCCATTCATTGCCAAAATCTTGCAAGATGAGAAACACCTTGTCTGTTTTAGGTGGCTAAGATAGGTGTGATTCTCTAGGCTAGTCTAGTTGTTTCACAGGATCTAATACACAGCGTAGTAAGAACATGCACTCTGACCTCCGGTCACTTAGTTGCCTAGTTTCAAGGCCTGATTTTTTAGAGTGGTTGTGAGGGAGCTGTATCAAATGTTAGACACTTTGTTAAGACAAAAACTATACTCTTCTTTTAAACTGTAAAGTGGCCTCACCTTAGTGTTGTGATTCAGCAGCAGTCTTCTGTGAGTCTTTTCAGGATGCAAGATTAATTATGCAGCTGGGACTCGTTAGGGGCATATTCTGGGGATAAAAGAACGGATGGTGCCATGCCGTAGTTGCAGGAGTCAACGTTCCTTCGTTCGTTCAACATTGATCATCAGTCGTGGTTTATGTAAGATACACTTGGAGAAGTGCTTTGTTTTCTGTAACCCTG